AGAAATGAGTACTGTATGAAATAAAGAACTCTTAAAGTTTGATAGCAATCCCAGAAGTGAGGAGAGGCTTCACACAGAAGACACGAAGGGTCAGCAGGCAAACGGGAGGAGGCCCACCCCGTTAGTCACTGGTGACCCACCCACTGGAGCAGCTAACAGCAGCAGGGCAATACCAAGGAGGGGACTGGGCAGTGTGGAATGTTCCAGTCACTTCTGGAGGGAGTCTGTAATTTCTTTTTCCAAACTTTGTATTCTTCTACTTTATTGTTAAGCATTTGTTTATATTTAAAGCAAGAGACAAGCAAGAGAGAGATATTTGTTTTCCCATCTGCTGGTTGACTTCCCAAATGCCTGGCTAGGTCAGGAGCCTCCCACGTGGATGGCAGAGACTCAAGCACTTGAACCATCACCTCTCCCTCCCCGGTTGAGCATCAGCAGGAAGCTGGGATCAAAACTGAGCAGGGGCTCAAACCCAGGCGTGCTAACATGGGACGTAGGCATCTCAAGTGGATCTGGGGCAATGTCTTAAAAAGTTAAACATACCCTTACTATATGACTGAGCAGTCCTACTTCTGGGTAGTTTATTTAGACAAGTGCCAAATCAAGTTTGTATGAAAACATGCATGCAGGTGTTGATGGTGGCTCCGTTTGTAACTGAGTAAAACTAAGAGCAGGACAAGCAATACCATATACCTAAGTATATGCACCCAGTTGAGTTATCTGCTCGATAATAGGAGGAAACAAACTTCTACCCACACCGAAAGTAACCTTTAAACAGTGTGTGGGAAGGTGTTTAGCAAGGTAAGCTATGGTGTGATTCCATTCCCAAACCTGAGAGGTGGGAAGTCGGTCCCTGGCTGCTAGCGACTGGGAATGAGGCAGTTCTGGAAGACAGAGGGAAGTGTTCCATGTCTTTGTGGTGATGGTTTCTACATGACCTTATGCGTTGGTCTGAAATCATAGAACCAATCATGAAGAGTGCATTTTACTGCATGTAAGTGGTTCCTCAACAACGCGGAGCTCAACCTCCATCCATCAGTCTGATGGGGATCTCCGTGAGGCAGCACGTACGGATTTGACTTGGGGTGTCCGTTGCTCAGCACAGACCAAGAAATCATCTAAGAAGGAACAATGCTGACAGCCACAGGATCAGGCACCATCTGCCAGGCACCTTGCCATGGGACTTCCACACTCCCACTACTAAATCCCGCACATGCGGCCTGAACAGCACATCACAGAAAGCACTGGTTCTGTCCCCTCAAGGCAGAGAGGGAGGGACCGTGCAGCTTGGCGGTCACTCCACGAGTCTGACCATGACATCTGCATCCAAGAACCTTCTTCTAGCCCTTTGCGCTCTTAGCAGTGCTGCAGTATTCTCATGCTTACCTCTGTCTCCTCTTGCTTCTCCTACTTCCTCTGTCCTACAGGCTATAAAACAAGAGCCTGTTTTGTCTTCCACCAGCCTCCTGCCTAACGCCCTCTCCCTAAGCCTACCCCACAGGGCATCCCTCAAATCCAATTCTGATTACCTCCTCCTTCCTGAATGTGTTCAGAAAGAGTCCATCTCTCCTCCCTGAGCCAGGGCCTGCTCGCACCTCCCTGGCTGGGACGGTCGCCCATCCAGCATATTCCACAGACCATCTGCTCTTCTGGAGTGAGCTGCTGAAGACTGGAGTGTCTGCTGTCTCCCATCCCCCAGGCCACTCTGACTCCTGCCACCTCGGACTCATGAACTCCGCAGGCCCAGGATGGGGGCTTCGGGGGAAGTAGCACAGTTAGGAGAGACCCTCTGGACCTTCCAGTTCTGAATCCTATCCTTTGTGATGAATGCAAATTCCGCACATGCCCTTCTGAGCCATCTGAGAAATCCTTGCTCATCAGCCTGTTCTGTGGAAAGCATCCTGGGAGCTTGTAAGGGGGCCTCTGAACGCAACAGCTCATGTTAAGTAGCAGCCACAAACCTGCCATTGTGGCCTCAGGCACTTGAAGCCCCAAGGAATGCAGGACTCAGCTCTGCTGAAAGAATCCCCGACCTCTCCATCCTTCTCCCAAGACCCTTGGCCTGGTGCAGTTGTCCATTTGGAAAGTCAGGTCTGACTCCCATACATTTCACATCTCCTGTGCCTTCCATCCTTCCTTCAGGACCAAGTCACCCCTGCTGAGGATTCTAGAAGCACTGAATCTCAAGCACAGCTGGAACCACTCACCTACTTCTTGTCTGAGAAGCACAGCTTCAAGACAGGGACCCTAGGGTCTTATAGGCACCCCGCCCCAGTGGTCTGGCCATGGGCTTTGGATGCAGCCACACGTGGCTACAGAGCTTTGCGCCTTCACCTCCAGCTGTGTGGCCCTGGGCAAGCACTCTCTCCTTGCTGCCACCTCCTGGTCTCCCTTGGTCTTTCCCTGCCCTTTCCTCATGGCATTCCTCAGGCCTTGGACTTGGGACTCTCCTCTCCCTCCCCTCTCCCCAGGGGCCCTTGCTCCTGCTCCACGTTGCTGTATCTAGCTCTGGCCACTCCCACCTACACATCTGGTTCACAGCGCTCTGGATGCCTGGAGAGCAGCTGATTGTCGGGGTCTCCTCAGCACCTTGCATTCAGACCATCTCCAGCCTGCCAGCTGCTGCTCCTGCTCTGTCCCCCACACAATGACCATGACTGCAATCCACTCTGCTGCACAGGAATCAGCCTCAGCAGCTCCTTCACTCCATTCTCCACCCGGCTACTCTCTGAGTCCTGCTCATTTGGTCTCTCGTGAGTCTTCTTGGGTCGGATCTGTCCCCGCTCAGGATCCTTCTGTAAACAGATTTTGAGAGGTATCCAACCAGGAGTTAACTTATTGGGTAAGCATTCATAACCTAAAAAACTAGCTTTACTTGAGCAGATTCACTCACCCTTGCATTTTCCAGTGGTTTTCTAAGACCAATGCCATGGGCACTTACTGGAGCTCAGCTTGGAGTCACGCTGACCTGGGCTTTCCCCCACCAGCGATGTCAACTGCACTACTCACCTGGCCTCTCTGCCCTGGGTTCTTCCCTTTAAGTTGGGAATAAATCACTGTGCCTGCTTCTTGTTTATGAGCATTAAATGAAGTTACAGAGGGAAAGCAGATCGCCCAGTACCTGCCATATATATAGTAGACACGCCAAAGCAAGTTGCCTTTTATTGTGACCATTTATTTGTGCCCAGACTTCATTGTTAAGAAGCTAATAATTAATGGCAGGGAGAGTGAATTCTGTGGAGCTGATGGGCACAGAATCTGGCAACCTGGCAAAGAGAGAGCTGAACCGAAAAACACTGCAATAACTGGAAAAAACGCAAAACTCAGTTGTCCATATTCCCCAGTCTATGTGTGTGTGTGTGTGTGTGTGTGTGTGTGTGTGCGTGTTTGTGCACATGTATGTGTGTGTGTGTATGACAAACTGCCAGTGGGGTAAAAGTTTCATGGTGGTGATTTCCTTGCAGACAGAAGCAACCAAGCAGCTGGTAGACCAGAGAACCCCATGTTCTACACTGGTCTGCAGCCACTCACTGGGCAGAGGAGCTGAGCTGCTGAGGACAGAACTGACACTGGTAGGGATTTGCTCTCCCCACCCTTGCTCTCACATCTGAGTGGAGTGCCAAGGGCCCTGGGTGAGCTCAGCAGGAAGTGGAGCATCTGAGAGATTCACCTGCCTGGGTCCTTCTAGGAAAGGGCTTAACCTCAGCTTCCTCCCTTGGGAAAACACTGTGTGGAGTGGAAGCAAAAACGAGCCCAACAGGGCCCTACAGACCAAGGAGAAAGAAGGTCCTGACCGGTGTTTGGGGAGGGTGGCAGAGCCACAAGATCTCAGAGAGCAAAGCCTCCTTCTACTCTGACACTTCACGAGGGCAACAGAAGGCACAGGTCTGTAAAGTTGCAAAAGTATCCAGCTGAGCCAAATCCTCTCCTGAAGATTTGGGAAAATGAACTTGGTGAAAAGATTCATGAGCCATAGAAAGATCTCAAAAATTCTACGAAGGTTACTCAACAAAAAGGGAGAACAGGAGTAAGACTCACTGGCCTCCACTCATTGCCACTCCCTCCATCATGCTTACTTCATCAGCATGGCCTTCTGGTATACCCATGCCTTATGTGGTCCCTTGTCTCACTGTTGGCCATTTGGCTTGCTCTGGCCAACTGGACATCATAAAAAAAAATGACACAAGCAGATTCTTGATTGTGGAACCATGTAGAGAGAGGGTCTTGGTCTTCCCAGCCGTCTTGGCTGTGGCCAGCCTCTGGCTGCTCCATCAACTGAGTGATCTGCATGACAAGCCAGCAGAGCCACCCAAACAACAGAGTTCTTGTACCATAACAGACCACTCCCACAGACCATCAGAATTAGACCATGTGTCACTGTGTGACCATCACACAGTGTTAGCGGTCAGCGCTGGACATATCACGATGAACAAGACAATGAACGACACAAACCTTCAGAAATGAGGTGGGAGAACTCGGGAAAAAACTTGTAAACAAAAGGGTAATTATTTAGTAAATATAAAATGTTACTAGAAAGCACACCAAAGAAACACAACAGACAGTGCCTTCAGAGAAAGAGCAAGAGCAAGAACTCATTTTAGGAAATGAAGAGGTGAGAAAGACTAAGAAAATGACAAACATTGAAGATGGTTCAAGAGGGCTCAGCACGCAGAAAGACATCCTTACCCGAAAGGAAATGGTGAGAAAACAGAATGTGTGTAGGAAACAGCACTTCCACCAAAAATATCCTACAGCAGCACCAGTTTAGAAGAATATTGGGCCCCTAGAAGAGGCCAGACAGAGTGGCCAGCCCCAGGGAAACCCTGGCACTACCCCTGGGCTCCTTGTAAACCCACAGTGGGCAGCAGAAGATCGGATGGCTGACACCCTGAGCCTGAGTGCAGCCTGGCATGGCAGGGAGAGAGTGGGGTGGGTGGGAGTGCTGGATGAAGCAGGGTGGGATGCTGAGGCCCCAGGCATAGAATGGTTCACACACTCACCCATGTAGGGCTTGGTGCCAGCCATGGAGGAAGCCTTTTCTGCTCCTTTGATGACCGTGGCGATGTTGAAGTCGGTGATGTGGACGTGTCCTGCACACACAGAAATAGGTACTCGGTTAGTGAGGGCTGAGGTCATGGGGCTTTGGGACTCAAAGCTGAGGCCAGCCACATGCCATGCAGGTAAAGGTGAGAACTTCCACGAACCGAGGCCCGCCCTGCCTGAATGCTTCAGCGTGCGTTTGGTAAGGCCTGAGTGATACACTTAGCAGGATCCAACACGGTAAAGTTTTAGAGACACTGATTAGCAGCATGACTCCAGACGGGTACAGACTGTGTCCCGTAAGATGACGGGGAGTGAGCTGGAGCTGAAGCTGGGGTGGGATGTGCGCGGAGTGGGGTCCTAGTGGGAAGGTGGGGGACGTTGAGGACACCTTGCGCCCAGTGTGAAGTGATGGATGCAGACGGGGTGTGCAGAGGCAAGCCTACTGCCCCTTGTAGGCTGCTGCACTTGCCAAGATGACACTCAAGGAAGTCGAGGACAAAGGGAGAGAGAGAAGGAAGGAAAAGGGGCTCGAGGGGATAGGGATGAGAGGAGAAGGGAGAGCTGGAAGGGGACAGGGAGGGACGAGGCTCTTAAGTGGGCAGCTCTCACTCTCTGGGGAACTTGGCACATACAAGAAACCAGCACCTGCACCCTCGCATGCTCTCACGTCCAACACTAAGCAAACTCGCACTCCTGTTGCGGACTGCAGGGCGTGTGAGGTGCACATCTGTCTTGGCCTTCCTTCTAGTCCCCAGAGCCATGGCCCGCACCACTACTGGGGGAAGATTCTTCCATTCACCCTTCCCCAGCAGCTAAGTCACCCATGTCCCAGGCAAGAGCGGGGTTTGACGCTGAGCTCTGGCTCCCGACTCCAGCTTGCAGTCAGTGCAGCCCTGAAAGGCAAGCATGTTCCACCCAGGAGACCCTCAGCCTCAGGTCAGTTTGGGCTGCTGAGGGCGCTTGGAGCATGAACCATTCTGCAGACACCAATTCCAACAGGAATTTACATTGCTCGCATGTTTTATATTGTTTAGAACACTGTTTCTCCTTATTCATTTCTCTGAATGAACTTAAGACAATCTTCGCCCAGCACCTGAGCTGACCCGCCTGCAGCCTCACCTCCTGGGAATCCCAGACCTCCAGAATCCCCCGACCTCCTCCTCCCCCTGGCCCCCAGTTGTTTAGATGTGGCGCTGCTGCAGTCTTGGCAACACCAGGCCAGGGGGCTGACTTCTGGAAGCTGCATCCGTGGAGTGGCGCAGGCAGTGGTGAGGGTCTTGTAGTCCTGGTGTGTGCAGTCCCGGGGCTCCTGGAGGTACTGCTCCCCACCACTGGAGGGACTGACATCACAGCTATCGCTCACGCCTCCCTAGGCAATCTCAGAGGTGCCCAGGGCCGACTTGCACCTTCACGGGCCCCCGTTCCTGCAATCCGCCCTCACCCTGCCCTGAGCAGCGAAGGGGGCATGGAGCAGGAGCCAGGTGACCGACCTTCACTGGCCCTGCCACGTGGGCTGAGAGCCTCTGGGAAGGCCATGGGCAGGTCCAGCCACAGGTCTCTGGCACAGCTGCGTGTCAGCCTCAGCTGCGGATCTGCCTTTCAGATGTCTACTGGGGGCTGTGGTTTGGTTTACTGCCCTTGGCGTCGTGGGACCATCCCTGGCTGGCCAGGCAGCCTAGTGACCTCAAGCCCACTGCCCAGTGTCTGGGCTTCATGCAGGGAGGGCAAGGTGGCCTCCAGCACACCTGAAGTTCACGTTGGGCTCTCAGTACGACCCCTGGTTTGCATATGTCTGGAGCCCAGTCCCCAGTGCCACAGTTCAATGGGGTGCTGTGAGGTGATGTGGATTAGCTGAGCACATGAAAGATGGGGTTGTTGGTTCAGCCTCACCTGGGATGCCCCCTAATACGCCCAGTTGGTACCACTACCAGATGCGAGCGCCACACTTCCAGACTGCCTACAGCCAGAGGCATGAGTTGAGCGAACCTCAATATATTCTCCATCGAGTGCCTGGGCTCAGACAGCAGACAGGGCAACAGGTGACAGCCCCAACACATCTTGCAGGAGCGCTCCAGGCAGAGCTAAGGCTCCTGGCCTGCAGAAGCCTGGCAGAAGTGCCTCAAAGTTCCCTAGAAAACTCCCTGGTGGCTCACCCCACCTCACTACCGACAGGCCGTGAGTGACAGTGCCCACTGAAAGTCCAGCGAATTTCATTTTCTGGGGCTGTCATCACCTCAAACTGTAGCTGATGGGTTAACATGGTGGCATTGTAGGCTAATCCACCTGCAGTATCAGCAACCCATAAGGATGCTGGTTCGTGTCCTAGCTGCCCCACTTCCCATCTAGTCCTGCTTATAGCCTGGGAAAGCACCCACATGGGAGACCCAGAAGAAGCTCCTGGACCTGACTTTGGATTACCCCAATTCTGGCCACTGAGGCCATTTGGGGGGTGAATCAGTGGTGGAGGATCTTCTTTGTCTCTCCCTCACTCTCTTTCTGCAAATCTTATGTTCAAGTAAAAATGAAATATATAGAAAGGAAGAAAGAAAGAGAGAAAGAAAGAGAGAAAGAGAGAAAGAAAGAAAGAAAGAAAGAGAGAGAGAAAGAAAAAAGAAGAAAAAAGCCTGCAGCCAGTCAGTCACCAGGTCAGCTGAACGATCTCGGGCCATTTCCTAGGTTCTAGAACATCACCTGGCAGCCTGCCACAGGTGACCCAACAGGCGGGTCCTCGGCCACTTGCATTGACCTCACCTGGTGCACTGCTGGAAATGCCAGACCTCACCCCTGCATGTCAGTTGAGAGAGATGCCTGTGGACCCCAGTGCTGTGATGGTGGGGTGCGAGCCGGGCAGGGCTGGGGTGGCGGGGTGCGAGCCAGGCAGGGCTGGGGTGGTGGGGTGCGAGCCGGGCAGGGCTGTGGTGGCAGGGTGCGAGCTGGGCAGGGCTGGGGTGGTGGGGTGTGAGCCAGGCAGGGCTTTGGTGGCAGGGTGTGAGCCGGGCAGGGCTGGGGTGGTGGGATGTGAGCCAGGCAGGGCTGAGGTGGCAGGGTGTGAGCCGGGCAGGGCTGTGATGGTGGGGTGCGAGCCGGGCAGGGCTTTGGTGGCAGGGTGCGAGCTGGGCAGGGCTGGGGTGGTGGGGTGTGAGCCAGGCAGGGCTTTGGTGGCAGGGTGTGAGCCGGGCAGGGCTGGGGTGGTGGGATGTGAGCCAGGCAGGGCTGAGGTGGCAGGGTGTGAGCCGGGCAGGGCTGTGATGGTGGGGTGCGAGCCGGGCAGGGCTGTGGTGGCAGGGTGTGAGCCAGGCAGGGCTATGGTGGCAGGGTGCGAGCCGGGCAGGGCTGGGGTGGTGGGGTGCGAGCCGGGTAGGGCTGGGGTGGCAGGGTGCGAGCAGTGCAGGGCTGTGGTGGCAGGGTGTGAGCCGGGCAGGGCTGTGGTGGCAGGGTGTGAGCCGGGCAGGGCTGTGGTGGCAGGGTGTGAGCCGGGCAGGGCTGGGTGGGGGCAGGCAGTGTCAGTGTGAGGCGCTCTGGCTTGCCAGGCCGTGTTACCTCCTGGTGCCCCCACGACTGCCCTGAAAGGCACGTGCTACTTCCCCAACTTCACAGTAACACTAAGGCTCACAGAGGTGAGTGGCTGCTTGAAACCACAGGAGCCCAGGGACCCCAACTTGTGCGTTGTCGCCCTACAAATGGCAGAAATTTCAGCAGGGAAACCCCAAACAAGCTCCACTCCACACACAGGATGAGACTAGAAACTGCCCCCCACCCTCGTGCCCCACTGCCTTCCCAGTTCTCCACTGAAGTTGGAGCAGAAGGGTTTCCAGTTGACACTGGAACCAGTGCAGTGGAATGCTCCTTCCCTCCCCGTACCCCCAGCTATCCCTCAGCCTCCCCCCTGCAGGGTCCCCATGCAACCGTGCCACAGGCTCACCGTGCTCATCCAGCAGAATGTTGTCTGGCTTGATGTCCCTGCAGAAGAAAATAAAGAGGCTGGCACCACAACACCGCCTCCAAAAGCACTCACACAGCACTGGGCTCGGCTGAAGGGTGCTTACTGATCCCTCCCTGGTCGGTCTCGGCCCAAGACTCCCAGAGGAACTACGGTAGGACCACAGCAACCAAGCTCTTAGTCCCTCCTCTTTCCTGGGACTGCTGTTTTTATCTTGGAGATTCTTAACCTGGGGGCTCTTCAAGCCCAAGAGTGATGAGCGTGGCTGGGTGGTTCCACGCCAGCAGAGTGGGTGGGAGGAGGGCACAACAGCTGGAACCATTGTACAGACTTGACTTGGGAACTGAGCGCAACCAATGGTGGGGTGCTGCCGAGGTCAGAGGTCAGCAGTCAGAGTTTCCGGGGCAGCCCAGATCTGTGCCTGCTTGTGTGGGTTCCTGACACCCCTAAAGGGTGATTCAGGCTAAACCAAATAACACATATGTGTGCATACACTTGTGCAAGGCACACATACATGCAAACACGTGACCACATGCATGCATGTCTACCTATGTGTCTATGCGCAAACACATGTGTGTGCACACACAGCAGCACACGGGTCTAATGGGCCATCGCAGCTTCTACAGCTCCAATCAGCCGCAGGAGGAAACAGGCTGGCAACGCGTCTCTCCTGAGCCCACGTGTTCCTGGACAATTCCGCAGAGTGCCCATGTGCGACCACTGATGCCGTGCTGGGTACTGAAGGTCCCCAAGGTTTGGAGTCTGCGGGAGGGTGAGCAGTGGCTGTGTGCCAGCATTCACCACTGCACCTGCTGCAAACTCCACGGGTTCCGTTCTTCGCAGGGAGCCCCGCAGTCGCCAGGCCACAGCTGTGCTTATCATCTGCTCCTGGCCACAGGAAGTTTGCTGGCTTCCTTTAAGGGCTGCATATCCACATGGGGCACAATCTGAGTGGGGACGTTTCTGGAAAGTTCTGCTCCATGCTCTCTATTCCAAGAGGCACTTTGTAAAATGATGTAGGCAGACGGCTAGGCAGGTCTGGTGAGCTGGGGAGGCCTGCAAGCTGCTATCCTCCTGCCCCAGGAATAACCCTACCATCCTTCTTGTCAATCAAAATACAACCTCTCCCCAGGGTTGCATCTCCTTTATTTGGGACGTGGGGAGGAAGACCCCATGCAGACACAGGTCTTGAGCTCCATGTGGGATTTACAGGAGTCCCAGGGGGCCTCACCCCAGGGGCACCCCTCAGGAGGCCAGCACCGGAGCTGCGCTCTCTGCTGCAGAGACCATGCCTGGAGGAGGGGCTGGCTGCCTTCTCGCTATGACACCATCCTCCTTTCAGGCACACACTTGCTGAAGCTCTGCATTAAAACTGTGGATTCTGGAAACACACGCCCTGCACACACATTTACAGCAAATGTCAAATGTGCGGAAACTAATGATAGCTTTCTTCGCGACAAAGAGCAGGTGCCCCTGAGTTGGTTCAACATCACTTGTATCTGAAAATGCGCCTTGACTATTTGCAATCAAGTGATTGCAATGTATTCTTAGGGGTGACGGAAACTCTCTATCCCTAGAGTGAAATAAAATTTTCATCGTGCCTGTTGGAGCCCACGCATGCTGATGCGTGTTAAGCCACGAGGCCCTGCCTGCTGCGCCCCCAGAGCAGCCGCTGTGAACTGAGAGCTTGTTCCGGGAGAGGAGTCGAGAGAGCCCACAGGAGGGCTGAACTGGCAAAGGCGCGAAATTAACACAAGTCAGGTGTTGGCAGGTCACGCGTTGACACTCGGTCCTCGCCTGTGGAGGCTCCCAGCGGGACGCCTCAGGAGAAGGTGAGAAAAGGAACAGGAAGTTCGTGCGCAGGTTGCCAACAGCCACCAGTGCTAGAGCTCAGCCCCGAAGCTGACAGCGTGACTGGGCTGACCTCGACCGGAGTGCTGGGATCCAGAGGGTGGAGCTGATGTGCCAGGTGGGCAGGGCTGGACAGTCCTGGGGAACAGGGTTGGACATTGTCTCCCCACATGCTTGTCCCCCACAGAACCTCACATATCGCGATAGAGATGGTGTCTAGAAGGGATTTTCTCTGTCTGAAGGGCTCATTTCATGCTGATTTGCCTAGCGGCTCCAGAAAGTGACCACATGGGTGTGATGGAAAGGGGCAAGGGGGGCTCCCTTGGGGGGGAGTCTCTGCTGTGGTCACAATGGACACACCATAACCAAGAGAGATGCCATGTCCCACGTGGGTATCAAGCATGAGAGCGTGGAAACTAACAGCTTGATCACTGATGTGTAGAAAAAAAAGCCAGGGTTTACGGAGGGGAGATGGAGGCAGGGCTTTCAGTGGTAATCAGGGCAGCCCTCTCAGAGGAGGTGACATCAGGCTGGCATTTGAAAGGCAAGGAAGAGCCACTTGCTTTTTTCTTTTTTTTTTTTTAACTTTCATTCTCTGTTTTATTTTGTTGCTCATGTTCATATATTTTTAAACATGTTACAAAAATCTCTGGGTGATCTTTTTTATATTCTTGTTTGACTTTTCTGTATTTTCTAGAATATGCATAGTAGAAATAATGCTTTTTAAATAAAGGAAATATTTAAGGTAATTTTTTAATGATATTTCAGCAATCTTAAATTTTAGTATATTGATACAATATTCAGTTGGTAGCTAGAGCATTCTTTCTGTTTAAAAAATTTTTTTATTATATTTTTTACAATCTTTACATAGTTAATTAGGGTAAAAAGGTTCAAGGGCTATAGGAAAGTAGGTAAGACTATTATTTCCATATTGTTTCCTTCATGTTTAAAGTGGGGTATTAAGGGAGAAAGCCCACCCAATTTCCCACCCTCCCCAGGTCCCGCATGTAGGGTATGTTCCGAGGGTCTTGCTCAAGTGGTTTTGATAGTTCACCAGTTCTGAATCGCTGCCAATCTCGCCACTCTGAGCATGATGAGGTCACTGCAGAATCCACTGATTGACATAGTCCGTCACAGAGTCTCTGTTTGCCCCATATTTCGCTGCCAACATATAGCTGAGATGGTTGATTGACCTGTTCTGTCTTCTCTCTTTTCTTGGTTAGGGTTCTGAGTCCAGCATTTTGGTTGGGGAGATCTCCAAAGAAACTTTGTCTGAGGTGTTCTCAGACCAGATTCTTGTATGTACTAGCAAGCACAGGGCCTGGCACAGTCCATCGCCCTGATCAGCTGGGTTGGTTCTGTTTTCACTCCCGACTTCCACTGGAACCAATGGGTGTTGCAGTCCAGCCTAGTTCTGCCCAGCACATACTCGGCCCTCGCATAAACCAGTGGGAGCTGCAGCCTAGTCGGAGCGACCCACAATAACCCCCACCAGGCCCGCCCCCTACCCTGGTTTGCCAGTATGTGTAGCAGTAGTTCAGTCTGTCGCACACCCCATTCCACCCCAGCCCCTGTCCTGGTTTTCGTGCCCTCCCATGTTAGTGGTAACCCAGGAGGGAGGAGCCCACTATTTCCCTCCCAGGCCTCTCCCACTCCCGGATTGTGCTCTCTCCAGGTAGTCCTGTGGTTTGACTTGACAGAACCAGGCCCCAGTGCCAGCTTCTGCCAGCTGATGCTGTGGCTAAGCCCAAACCACCCTTACCCACTCTAATTTTGTTTGTACCAGTAGGAATAACCAGCCCAGCCCGGCTTTTCCCTTATTTAGTCCACATGAGGCGTCCAGGTGTTGTAGCCCTGCTTAGTCTGGTCTGCCCCCATCCCAGCTCACGCTCTCCAGTGGGAGTAGCTGTCCAGCACAGGAACCACCCCTTATTCCCCTTCCCTTCCTGGTTCTCATGCTGCTTGGGCGCTGTGGTCACATCCAGTTCAGTTCACCTCATCCTGGCATTCCGTATTGTGCACTAGTTTTTGTTGCCACTGAACCCGGCTTGACCCACACTGTTCTGGTGCTTGGATTTGCCAGTGGATGACGTGAACAGAGTCAGCCTGGTCTAAGGAAGAGCCACTTGTACATAATCCAGGTGGCAGTGCTCTTGCTGCAGAGGAGGCAGCAAAAGCTATGGGGAGGAAAGACCAGGCCACAGCATGCCCTGGCCCACAGGGCATGGCCAAGGCAGTGGGGGCACTGTTTCCACTGTGCTGAATTATGTCCCAAGTGGAAGGGATGCCAGTCCCACAATTACCTCATGTTAGGCAAGACTCTGTCTTGGTGGACAGAACTGAGCACTCCTCGTAGCTGTGTGTGACGGCCACACGGGCAGATACGCAGTTCCTCTGGCCATTGAGCGACAGCAGGCAAAGAAATGGGACCTCCATCCTATAGCCCCAAGAACCAGAGCTTGTACATAGCTGTGGGCGCGGTGGGGTCTCAGAGCTCCAGGAAGGGCTGCAGACCACTCCAAGGGCAGTTTTGTGAAGCCGCCCTAGTAGAGGCCTGACCCATGGAAACAGGGCGTATCAACAGCAGCCGTGAACCTGCACCCACATGAGGGGTGGTCGTGCTCCTTTCAGGACCCTCTCCCCTGACTTCTGCTGCTTCTCAGTTCCCTGTTCTGAGGGACTGGGGTCAGGGGTGGGGAGGAAAACCAGACTGTTGCCACTGAGGATTCTGGGAACAACCCAAAAGAAAGAAAACCAAGCTGGCCTAGAGGTTGGGAAAAGGGAATGTCTGAGCCACTCTGGCAGGTGTCTGCACGCTGGGAGGCGTATGGCTGGGCTCATCCTGTTCACCAAGCAGTCAGTCAAACCCATGCTTTCCAGCCCGCGCTGGTGGGTCGTAGGAGGCGCAAAGCTCAGTGGGATGCCCTGGGGAATCAGGAGTTGATTTTCTTAGTAACCATATGTGCCCCAGGCCCCATGGAGAACACAGCTTTTCAACTGAATTCGTCCAGACCAGCTGTGCTTGCAGCATTCAAGGAAAGTCTAACGTCCCCCAGACATGGCTGATGGGGTTCGTGGTCCCTCCCAGTGGGTAAGGTGACAGGGACGTGACCTGAGAAGCAGTAAGGGTTGATGTTAGACGCAAGGCAGAAGCGCTTCCCTGGGCTGT